TGTTGATCGCAATGTACAAAAAGACTCAGCGTATAAAAAGGAGGCTCAGGCACATATAATAAGGCTCAATATCACAACGCGCAGGCCTCGGTGTGCTTCAAGCTTTGTTGAAGTTAGGTGCATATAATAAAAAATATAAAAATTCTTGAAAAGGTGTTGTGTGCCTCAAGGGCATGCGCCTTAAGCTGTACCTTAGTGCGCCTCCAAACTTATACAGATTCCTCTTCTACATATCAACGTCATCTTCTTTTGATCCTAGTTTTTTAGGTTACAAGAGCAAGTTCATCCCAAAGAAATCTAATGATACGTGCCAACAGGATATAGGAGCAAATGATAATCAACTCTTTTCCCTATGACAAAAACTACAGCCGCAACATGGGGGAAAAAACATTCTCTAAGAACTTTTTCTGTTAAATGTAGGGTATTCTCTTTGAGAGAGATCCAAAATAGAATTATCTTCTTTAGACTTTTACAAAAACTCTTTTAACACAAAAGGAGCCACTTCACTAAACAACCACAACTTATCTAGTCATATAAATCAAAATCGACCTCCTCAACATACACATATTAAAAACCTTAGAAATTTGATGATCTTCCCAATCGAGAAGTTTAATCACACTTTACTTTGAAATTGACCAACACTCCTAAAATACCATTCCCTACTCCTTTGTGAAGAAAAGGCTTCACCAACACCTTAATTTCCTTTACAATGCCAAATTTCATCACCATTCAAAAAAACACAAATGCTACCTTGCCCTAGGAGCTTCATTTATGGTACACATGGGCCGAATGCCAACCCCGCATAAAACACACATTCTTCTCCATAAACAAAGAAAAACTCTTATCAATATTATTGTTAAACCTTAGGAAGTCTTGTTGAATAATTTCTTTTTTATAAAGAAGTCCTATTGAATATTTATAGCTCTAAAATAAGCATAAGTATATTAACCTAATAAGAAAAAGTACAACACTAGAAAATTAATGTCAAAAATATGAAGAACACTAAAGACCTCCTTAAGGTTTTTTTTCCTCTTCGCAAAAATTGGATATATAGTACCATAGGGGAAAAAAAATTAACATAAAGTCTTTCATGAAATCTCTCAAAAGAGCATAAAGTGAAGACAGAAATTGGGTGATTGAAGAAACTCCAACCCATAGCTGAACAAGCTAGCTAAAAACTCTACATTATTGACTTTCTAGTTTATACCATGATTGGAAAATCAAAAAGGCACATGAAAATTATTTAAGTTTGCAACTACGTGCCATTATAATTATGTTTTTCTTCAATTTCCAAAAATACAAAATGAGCCTACTAAATCCATTTACAAGGAAATGTATTCTTTTGAGACTTAGACATGTCAAAATCCAATAAAACATGATCAAAGGTTCAAGAATTTTGCAAGAGCTACAAACTAATCTAATAGCAAATGAACAAGATATATATATGATCATTTGTGGTTAATGATAGAATGTCCTCACCAATTTAGACTCTTTTCTCTTCACCTTAAACTTATACTACTCAATAAAAAAATAAAAAAAATAAAAAACTTAAGTTCAATAGAAAAAATACTTCACTTCTGCAGTTCAACTAATTTACGATAAATACTAAAAATCAATAACTTTACAAAATAAATACAATAAACAATCAGTAAAAAAAAAATTAAAAAATAAATAAATAAATAAAAATAATAATAATAATAATAATAATAATAATTTAATTCGGCAAAAAAATTTTAAGTTCAACATAAATAATTTAATTTCAAAGAAAACAAATGAAGTTCAAAAATAATACTCCCTCCGTCCCCCTTTTGTTTGTCACTTTTGCCATTTTGGGTGCCCCTAAATGTTTGTCACATTTTATATTTTCATAATTATTAAGATACATAAAAAGACTTTTATACCCTCATTTTTTTTGCCCTTATTAAGTCCTCTTCCTATTATACCCTAACATTTGCCACAAAAATAGTGCCAACTTTTGACTAATTTAATGTTTTACACTCTTAATCTCTCAATTTCTTTTTCCCACGTACTTTAATTACTTTTTTAATTGGAAATGTCTCTTTCCCATGCACTTTTATTACTTTATTGGTTGGGAATTTCAGTTTCCCATATACTTTCATTATTTCACATTCTCCACCTTAATTCCCGTGATTTTCCTTCAAAAGTGACAAACAAAAGGGGACAGAGGGAGCATTTTTATTTTAAGTTCAACAAAAAATTTAAATCCAATAAATATTATGTGAAGAAGACAGGGCCTTACTAGTTACTTAGACTCAATCGTAAGGAGTAAGCACTTTGCAACAAGTACATATCAACACCACCAATCAAGCTAATAGTTAAATTTCAGTCTATGTTACTCAAAATCATATATGGTATGGTATCCTACTTTCACAATTGGCGAAGCTAGAATTTCAAGGCAAGGGTATGGGGACACAACAAAATAAAGAAAATTAATTTCCTAATTCAAGAGTAATCATAAATAAATTGAAAAGGTCAAAGAAATCAAAAGTATCAAATTCCATGTTAATTAAAAGTTTTGAGTTATTAAAGTGTTGAAGACAATTAAAAGAGAAATGATAGCGAAGAGAGGTAGGAACCGGAAAGACTAGCCATAAAGTTAAAGTACCACATGGAATTTTCTCTCTTATACTACGAATTATTCTATTCTAGCCCCCTACCTAACCATGGATGATAAAATTATAAAAACAAGAATGTGGGTTACTCAATTCCTCACCTCTCACCATTGTCGGAGAAGACCATAGGAAAAATAGTTGTAAAAAAAAAGTCACTTTAGCATGATAGGATACACATTCATAGCAAAAAGCCCCATCGTTTAAGCATAAAATTGGTAAATATTTTTGAATTGCTTCCTCCTTGCAATCAATCTTCCTTTATACTTATACCATGCCGAATTGCCAGAAACAAATTTCATACCCATATCTGGTCGTGTCATGTTAACCCCAATTGTTTTGTAGTAACATAGCATGTAGTCTCCATTGGATTAGATATAGTGGCACCTCGATGATTCATGGTGGTTATTTTGTTCTTAAAGGAAACATGAATTCCACCTCTTCTTTGAGGACATGCGGCATATACCAAACATCCACCTTAGAACTAACATTGGAATAACTTCTAGATGAATTAGATTATGGGAAGCTATCACACAATATTGAAAACTCGGAATAAGAAAATATGTGTAAGATTATTTTCAACTGGAGGCAAAACTACCAAGGCTCAAACCTTGGGAATAGAATAAAGACTAGATATATGGCAACAATTATTTTAAGGTTAGTCATGATATTGTGTTTGGTTTCTTAAAAAGTATGCCAACTCCACATCATTTTCAAGATTTAAGTAATTTCATAAACGTATACTTTTTATTTATTTATTTATTTTCAAATAGCCTAGTGTCTTCCCTATATGAAAACACAAGATACCACGATAATAATAACACTAAAAATATCTTAACAAATCTTTGCCTAACATTTGATTTTAAAAATCTTAGTTGCTACACCAAAAATCAAAGTCATAAAACAGATGAGAATGCATTTATACAAGTGATCATCAGTAATTAGATCCCTTGAATATCAACATCACAAGCCTTCTTCTTCTGCCTCCAATTGAAAGTTAAAACTTAAGCCCCCTTGCATATTCTATAAGTATCTAAGCCATACTTGCCAAAGGCTAAGCCAAAAGAAAAATTTACTACTACGCTCTTTTAGCAACTTTGCAAGGGGCAATACATTTACATATGTTTACCCCATCAGCACAAATTCTTCTAGAAACTTAAATCCCTTCTACTTGTCAGCTTTTTTTGTCACAAATTCCATTTGCCAAAGTAAAACACAACATAACACATCTTTAGCACCAAAAGTCACACCTAATTTTTTTTATTTGCCAAAGTAAACCATGGTATAACACATCTTTTGCACCAAAAGTTACCCATATCTGGCCGTGTCAAGTAAACCGGTCTAGTCCGGTCTTGGTTCGTGAATCACCTACTTCCAAGCATTGTTTCTTCAATTGCCCAAGAGTCCAAACTTCCTACTCAAACGTCTCAAAGCCTAGCAACTAATAAATTTCCTTTAATACTTCAAGCCTCTACAAGTTACCAGGTCAATATAAAACCCATGAAATCACAGCAGATGTCAAAGTAGCCTCCCCTCCGATCCTACACCCTAAATCCTTATTTTCATTAATATCTTCAAGGGTATCTAACATTAATGATGAGAACAATGAATTCTATATGATATTGGGAAAGTAGGACAATAAGGAGGCTCAACTAGCAAAAATCAAATTTTTTTTTCCATATTCATGTATTCATATAAGCAGCTGCTAATGGCCTGTTTTTAAGAATAGATTCACTGAATCTCCATTCAAGTAACCACAAACCATCGCTATTTGAAAATGAGAGTGAGAATGTGTGATAGACCGACAGAGAGAGAGAGAGAGGTTACTTCATGTAAAGTAGGGGTATTTCTCATTAAATTTGAGCTCAAATATTTTCTTTTTCATCTTTTTACAGTTTGCAGGTCTGAAAGTGGAAACACGAGTAGTTAAGAAACTTTTTGTTTCAAATGTGTTCTATTGGGTTTTTGTTTCATAAAAATACATGGTGGGACAGTATAGTGCTTCATAGGTGAGTTCCTGAGATAAGAAAATTTGGCTATTTGATATCACTAATGCTTTTTTTTTTTTTTTTGAAGGACCAATGTCGAAATGTTCTGCAAATCAATTCCACTCATGACGTAACTTGTTTTAGCATTATTAAATCCAATAAAACAAGATATCATAACGACACCACACATAGAGAAGCACATAGTAGACGACTGGCCAAAAATGATAATATCATGACGCTAAATGTAAATTAAGTCCAACTTACCTACATTGCTATATAAAATCAAATTCTATTGGAATCCTTAACAAGTTGATAAAATAAAAGTGCATCAAATGAACAAAGGTTAACTTAATCCAATCCAGTAGAGGAAACAATAACTAACCATGACTTGTTGACCACTGCACAGCATTGACTGCTTTCACGTGTCCATTTAAACCAATGGACAACCTGAAAGGTAATTTGTTCTTCTCTGCACATGTTTTTGTTCGCTTCTTCAAAGACAACAAAATGTCTGGCCGCACATATGCTGAGGAAATACTACCCATTTCTGCCAAAAATAGAGCAGTGAGTGTGAGACTGTAACTGAGGCTTCAGTGATTTAGGAGCACTCTTTCTTCCTTAAGTGTGGATATGAATAAAGTACATTTGTCATTTTTCATATGTGCAATAAGTAGCTGAGGGGAGAAGGGGGTGGAACAGGTTAGATGCAATAAGTATATGAGGGGGAAAGCAAAGGATTACTATTGTGGCACTCTCGCTTCAAAATAGAGAGAAAAAAAAAATTACTTGTACACATTACTGAAATGGAAATTTTTTTGACAAAATTTCTTATAAGAACACATATAATAGGGACCTTGGCCGAAATGATGGAGTGGTGGATGGGACAAAATCTTCAGATCAATTTCTTTGTAGAGAAGAAGACAAGAGGCAGAGAAGTAGGGTTTATTCTTGAGATAAAGATCTGGAAGAGGACGGGGGGAAAGCAGCAGATTTTACTCAAATATCTTTTTATCTTACATACATGAAGTCCATGAGTGTGAGACTAGGTAGAATTGCTTCTGTCGTCAATTAATGAGCTTTTTCTGCCAAGGAAACCATGTTAAAACATACTACACCTGTAATCCATTTTTATTTAGTTGACATCTTTCTTTTATTACCCTTGTCAACGCACTATTTTAATAATATCTCTAATTCTCGACATTAGAAAATCATAAAAAGTGGATGTATTAATAAAATATACATTGAGATGAATTCAAACAAGATCCCACTTGACTATGTTTTATAGTAGCTAGCTATAAATCACAAAAGCTAGTCAAAGTGTAGTTTGTGAATAGTGTAAAAATCAAATGGTGTGAACTAAAGAAAACAGAAGTAGTATACTTTTAAAAAAAAAAGTGTTTTGAATACTTTAGATATACACAATAGTGTTGATGTATACAAGGTATATAATTGAATTTTTTTATTAAATATTTTTCATTTAACATTTCCCGGTCGTTTTCTTGTTTCTAGAATCACCCCTTCCCTATTTCTGAGACCGTGGATAGTTCCATGCTACCTGGTGGTACGTGGTGTAGCAGTATACTTTTATACTAATTTTTTTAAAAAAACTAGGAAACGAATTGTGTTCCCATATGTTCCACATACCTAAGCATACCACAACACAGGTAACACTAGTCTAGAGATCAAAATGTCCTGTCATTGCATTAAGTTAAATAACGCGGCTTTCATCTCAGTATTTGTCTCCAGGATGTTACTTCAGTTTTTAATAATGAGTAATCTAGATACTAACAAGATCATAGCTGCAGCAGCATATATTTCATTCCAAGAGCATGAACAGGACAGTAAGAAGAGGGTGGTTATGCCAAGTAATAAAGAGACATGAAAATAGCAGTGAGGACATCGTGGACATCAATGAATTTGGTAAAAATGTTGGCTAGACAGAGGTGTGAGAAGATACAATGTGAACCAAGAATGTTCAAGTAAAAATGAACTCATTTTTTGTCCTCGATATCCCTTTTTGATTTGCTTCCTAGCAACTCCCTTTCTCAACTTCATTCCTTTTCTAGCCCCGTATTTCCTTGTACAAACCAAACTTTTATTTTTATTCCCTTTCTCGAATCATTTCCTATCAATTAATTAACTAAAAATCTTTCATTTCATCATTAGTGAACCAAAAAGCCCCATAGTTTTCTATTTCTATTCAATGCACTAGGTTCTTAAGTCAAGGAGAGAAATAACATGAGAGATAGAATGACTTGGCTTTGAAAATAACAATTGAGGCATAAGAGGAAGTGACACAAGGGAGAATTAAGGGATAAAAGGAGAGAAATTTCAAAGATAAACTTTTAAATAAAATCATATGATGAACAACAATATAAGATTATTTTTTATAGAAAACAAATATGTTATTGAAGCAGCTAAGCTGAAGTACATCAAGAGGGCAAGATGTCCTCACAAAGTAACAGGAAAACACAAATACAAATAAGTCCAATTCCTTTGTATGAATTGTATCTCCATTGTAGAATAATTTGAGAAAGCACCAGCCACCAAATCCCATAAAGAAGATAAAAGGTTGACTTCATCCCACGACGACACACTCACAGGTAGCAGCAATGCCATTAAAGATTCGCAGGTTCCGATCTAGACCAATCCCAGATATTTGAAGGACTTATCCAAGTCTCATTAGACACATCAAAAAGTCCTCTCCAAAGGTAACAAGCCATTTCACAATTTAGAAAAACATGAGAGCATGGCTTGACATTAACTCAGCACATCACACAAATGTCATATGAAATAGCCAATTTGCTTCCCTACTTTTGATCAAATCATACGCACTAACTCTTCCCAATGCTCATTATTCACACAAAAGCTCACACCTTACCGCTATGTTTGGATAGAGAGAAATGGAGGGAAAGGAAGAGAAGAGAAAAGGAGGGATGCATCCTCCCTTGTTTGGATATCTAATGCAAGGAGGGAAGGGAGGGAATTAGAAGGATCCATTTTCCATCCATTTTTAATAAATCAAATCCCTCCATTGTTGGAGAGATTTGGAAGGAAAATGGAAGGTCTCCTTCTCCCTCCCCTCACCTCCCTTTCCCTTCCTTCTTTTTCCTTCTCCTCCCTTTCTCTTCACTATTGTTATCCAAACATAGTGTAAGAGAATCTTTCCCCTTCCAAATAAAGTTTGCTATTGGGAAAGCAGGACACTAACAATGTGTTTGGATAGATTAGAGGGAAGGAAAATAAGGGGAGGGAGGAGATGGGGTGTGAAGGGAAGGGGAGGAAAGGGAAGAATGAAGAGTTTTCCTTCCAAATCTCTCCATTGTTGGAGAGATCAATTTCTTGCAATTTGATCCCTCCACCTCTTTTCCCTCCAATTCTCTTCCTTCCTCATTTGTTATCCAAATGAGAGATTATCTATCCCTCAATTTCTCTTCCCTTCCTTTAATCACCTACAATTTTTCTCATTGTCTTAACTTTAATTCGTTATCTACTTTGTATTCATTAAATTTACTATGCCAATTAGAAACCAAAGATATCACTTTGACCCTCCTTTAACTTATTGTACTAATCTTATACGAGTATTTCTCGGTCCATAATATCTTCTCTACCACCCATTCTTCCAAAAATGCACCTAAACTCCATTCAATCCATCCTTAATCACTATGCATTCATTTCTCAACCCTAAAACCCTAAAGTATCGGCATCATTCCGGTTAATTACCTTCCTCATCATCTCATAATTGGTCAGAAACACACAAAACGTCGACATTCAAAATCACAATCCATCAAACAATTCCCTTTCAACACCACATCTCAAAATAATTCCATGCACAACCATAAAAATACATAAATCAATCAACAGCAACTCAATAAAGGTAATTTTTTTTCCCCAAATCTAACTATTTTTTTCAATTCTAGGTTTTCCACAACAATCAATTGAATAAAACAAAAAAAAATTACAGAAAATGAGAAAAATCATACCAGGTGAAGGAGGCAAGGTAGGAAGAGGATCAGCATGAGTGGTTGAAGCAGACGCCATTAGAGCTTTCTCTCTCTTCGAGATGTACCTACCAGTACTGGAATTTGGAGCTCCGATTTGGGGATTCGGAGCCTGAAAAACGGGTTTGTGAATTGGTGTATAATAGGGTTTGGGCCGCTTCGATGGAGGAGGAATGATTTTGGAAGGTTGAATTTGTTGTTCATCTTCATCTTCGGAACTATTTGAGTAGGTTTTGCAGAGCAGATCCATTTTACAGGAATCGAATGAAGTTTTTGATCGGATTGTTTTGTTGGAGTGAGTAAGAAGAAGGGAGATTGTTGATGAAAGTAATACCCTAGTGTTGGACCGGTGGTGGTTGTGTTTTTTTATTTATTCTCTATTTTTCCTAATCTTATCTAGGATGTCAACACGACGGATGTTGGTTTTCCTATCCCTGCCTAAAATTCTCGTCCTATTCTCGAGTCGAAAACTCATCTCATTCCGCCCCGGCGGATACAATTTCAAAATCATCTCCGCCCCACCCCCATTTGGATATCCATCCCCACCTAATCCCACTGAAGACCCGCCTAATCCCCGCCTCCCAAATACAACAACACAACATAATATAGATAACGATAAAAAAATAAAAATAAAAATAAAAGAAAAAAAAATTGTTGTTGATATTACACTTTTTAATTTTTTTTTTTTTAATATAAGTATATTACAATGTTTTATATTTACTACTTTATTTTACATCACTTTTTGTAAGTATAGTATAAAATTATACAATTTTTTAAGAAAAAAATATATAGATGTGGGTATAAGGTGGAGATGGGGCGGGTACGAAACGGGGCGGGAATGGACTGGTACAACCTAAAATCCACCCCCGCCCCATCACTCATGGCGAGTATGGTTTTTATCTCCATTGGGGCGGGGAAGGGATGGGTCTCCTACTTGACCCGCCCCACTGATATCCCTAATCTTGTCTTAGAGATTGCACAGTTGCACTTGTCGGGCCAGCGTGTGGCACGACACAACCCATCATAAAATAAGAACGACATAGGCACAAAGTAGGTATAACATGGCGCGTTAATATAACTGAGCCTAAGTCATTTTTTGGGAGAATTGCAATATGGTATAGCTTGGCAAGAACGACATGGTACAGTAGCACATGGGTTTGGGTAGTGCATAAGCCACCATTTTGAAAACTTGACACTGCCAACATGTAGGGAGTGGGTTCATCCATGAATTTAGGCCAAAAAAATGTGATCGTGACACAAGACACGACCCACAACCATCATGATTTTGACCTATCTTGAGATATAGTTGTTTGTTTTTCCTTATAAAAAGTATATGGCCCTGTTAGGTCAAACTTGTGAGGAATTGAGAAGGGAGGATAATAAGAAATCCCCACCTTCACTTCGGTTAGCAGGGATCGAACTCATGATCTTTAGACATAAGTTAGTACGACTGTATAATATAAACTTTTTATCATTTTTTAACATCAATAATTGAAAATATTTAGGTTTGAAATCATATATATTGGTAAAAGTGGCTAAATAAATTGAAGCATGTCTTTATTAATAAACATGGACTAGTCATGATGTGAATGTAAATGAGACATTTTTTGTATTATAGAGTAGTTTATACTTTTTTTTTTTTTTTTTTGTGAAATAAAGTGCTGATATTTCTACCTATGACTAGTATGAATTTTGCAAACTTAATTTATAAATAATGATTCATATAAGTAATACAAGTTCAAGAACGTGTTACCTACTTTCCTAAATTAAATGTTCTAACATTTTACTTTTTTCACATATGTCAATATAAATCTTTAATCATTAATAACTCTAAGCTAATTATGTAATTGTAGAAAGAAATTAAAAAAATATAGGTTTAAAAAAAAAATATATAATTTAATTATGAAAGTACACATTGAGATGAATCTTACAAGAACCACATGAATTAATTTTACATGCGCATAAATTATAAATGATGGTCACAGTGTAATTCTTAAATAGTGTCATAAATCAAAGTATAAAGAACTGTAAGCAACGGAAGTAGTATACAAGCTAAGTATAATAGAAGTTAATTAAGGTTTATTAACGTTGGTAATTTACCACCTTAATTTCATTGTAATTTCGCTAGGTTTATTAGTTGATTGTATGACCACTATCTTACCTCATCATTATCTTTGAAAGAAGTAGTTGAGGCAATAGTATGCTTTAAAACAACTTAACCACTTTAGTCATTTGAATCACTCTATTCTTTAATTTCTTTTTATTTTTTATAAGAGTCAAATAATAATAACAAATTTAAAAGGTAATATAGGATTTTAGATTGTTACTTGTAAAATTACAATTCCAAGTCAAAGATTTATTTTGCAAGCTAAGGTAAGTTCGTTCTATATATATATATATTTTTTTTTCTCCTCTTACTCAAGAAAGATATTTGTGTAATGTACGTTACGATCCAATACATACAATAAGACCATCTGATCCAAGACCTACTGTATTATCGTAAGAGGTATACGTGTATAATTTCCCTCTCTTACTCCTAACATTCAATAATGATATTTAAAGCCATTTTCTATTAACAAATAATTGGTTGATACCTTAATTAAATAAACATAATTAAAGTTGTGGCTATCAAACATCAGTAAAGAAGAATATAATAAATTTCTCATGAGAAACTATATTATAAAAAATTGTAAATCATGGTTACCAACCCCACAAAGGCACTAAAGTATGAGACCTTAGAAGAACCTATCCTTTCATTCAATAATGAACATAAAGACCAATTTATAGGAAAGCCACATAGCTTCTTTTCAGTTTTTTCTTCCTAATCTAATCTAAATAGGTCAATTATACAAAGTATCAAAGATTAGAAGACAAGAATAATAATGGCCACTCAGGAAGAAAATATTTTTTCTAACAATTATCAATATTTTATTTTAAATTTTTTAATATTTTTATAATTTTTACAAAAATAAAAGGTATGTAGAAGAGGACAAAATATAAGAACAGTCTTCAACCCATGCTTTGAAATAATGTAATTTAGGAATTATAAAACAAAGTTTGTGATAAGTGGGACCCAATTAGAGGCTTATCAAGGAATGTTTCCTAAGACCAAATATTTATGTCAACCACACCTGAGGGAAGAAGGGGTTGACGAGTTAATAGGTAACATTGACAGGAAGGACTCCACTAATAGTCAAAATTGTTATATTATTTCACATGTCAATTGTTATGGGATGAACAAGTTTGCTTTCATATTATAGGTGGAGCACCCATTAAAATTTTCAATTTACTAGAAGTCAAACTACCTTAGCCACCTCTTGGTTGTTGAATGATTAGTCCGTTAGATAGGTGTTCTGATGACCGTCGTAGGTGTACATTAGGTAATTTACTAGAAGTCAACCGATCTTAGCTACATCTTGGTGGTTGAATGATTAGTTCGTAGTAGGTAGGCGTTCCGGTGATTCTCGTAGGTGTACATTAGATAATTTACTAAAAGTCAACCGACCTTAGCTACACCTTGGTGGTTGAATGATTAGTTCATAGTAGATAGGTGTTCCGATAACTGTTGCAGGTGTACATTAGGTGAAAGAAGGTTAAGCGAAAGTCATGTACGTCCAAATGTATAATAAACTTGTCAGATTTTCAAGACTTGCAATTTCTCTTAATAGATCGAATATTATCTTCAACCAATATTGCAATGCAACCTCATGCCTTAGTATTCAATGAAACTAATAATTTTATTGTAAAAATAAATTCATTTCAACAAAAATAAGTTTAGCGTAATAAGTTCAGTTTTAATAAGTAAAAATCATTTTGAAATCAAATTAAAAGAACAAATATAATAAAAAACAGTAATAAAAATAATTGAAAGCAAAAATAATTTATTTTCATTTCAATAAAAAAGGTGAAAAAAATTATGGTTTTACATGTATTATTCTTGGTGAATATGGTAAGTAAATTATTAACTCTTATTACTGTCCTCATCCATATATAGTTCATACTTCCTCCGTTCCTTTTTACTTGACCTGCTTTGACTTTTACACTATTTATCAATCTTCCTTTGACCGTCTTTTGTGAATAATACGTATGGAAAAACATATTCATGTGATTTTTTTGAATTCGTCTCAATAAGTACTTTCATAATATTAAAGTTATAGATAAACTTGTCAGACTTTAAGCTTAGTAAGAAGCTTATAGATAAAGATAGAAAATGTTGTTATGAATATCACCAACTTTAGAATTTCACTTCAATCCGTATGAATGTACTTACATGATCATCGTTAGTGGAATACTAAGAAAAATTTCTAATTAGAATAAAAGTAATAAAAAGACAAATTATGAAATGAGATGTGTGCACTTGTCACACTATTAATGTATGGGGTCATTGATTGGGTATAGACTTGTCAGTTCGGGTCAACAGGTCGGGTTCAGGTTAGAGTTCGAGTCATGTTAAAAATCTATCTCAAATACTGTAAAAACTTAATATTATTACAAGATATGATATGCGGGTCAAATTTAGGTCATTCGGGTCTGGTTTGGATTTCTCTCAATAATTTCGGGTCAGGTTAGGGTCAGATTAGATAAGGTCATAAATTGACAGCTCTATTGTTATAATTGGGTACGTTATGTACTATGTATAAAAGATGATAGATATACAATGAGATTATTGATTCAAATGACGCTAATGAGTAATGACAATGCAAATACAGAGTTGATACTATTAGGGTTGACTATGCATAAACAAAAGTTATTGTTAATGAATCAATGTGGTTGCTATTCAAGTTATAGAGAGGTTATAACAGTTAATGGTTTTTTCGGGTTGGGATTAGTTACCAAATATGTAGGATTATTGTTTGAGCCATTTGAGTGTTGCATGTTGCATGTCACACATTATACCAAAAGTCCAAAACCCAACAGCATCATGAAAGAAGGGTTTTGTTTTCCATCTCTCCAAATAAAAAGATTTGTCCAATTATGAAAAAATTTCCTAATTCCTATGTGTAACCTTTGGGCATGACTGTTTATTTAGCACCAAGATCTTAATCACAACTAGATTAGTGCCCGTGCGATGCACGATAGTAATAATCATTTTTCATAATTAATTTGTAATATAATATAAAATGAGGCAACTTATGTGAAATAAACAAATGCAACGTATATAAGAAAGATGAAATAATAAGGCAAAAATTATTAAAATTACTATTGAGAAATTAAAACTACAATTGAGAAAAAAAAAATACTCTGTAATATTTTTTATTAGTTTATTGAAAATATTTAAAAATAGTGTACATTATATTATATTAATGATGCATGTTATTCCCAATAAAACTATACAGTGGTGTAGATGTCATAAGACTTTTTTTTTTTAAACGGGATTTAGTTAAAAAAATACTATAAATTTTTTTTAAAAAAAAAAAAACCTAAACCTGACATCATATATTGTATTGGCGGGAATTTTTTTAATGATAGCTTGACATATGTCCAAAAAAATCGATGTAAGCACGACCTGTCTTAGTAATAGTTAATAGAATTTTTGAAGGAAAAAAAATTATAAATTAGTAAAATTATTGCAAAAATATTTAACAGAAAAC